AAAATCACGCCTTTCGCATTTCCTCACTGATTTCCCTCAACTTTTTTATTTTAAATTTCATTAAAAAAAACGTTTTTCGCGTTTCCTTGTAGAAATATCGATTTTGCCATCAACATTTTGTTTTCAATTTTCTTTAAATAATAAAAGAAATGCTTTTCGCATTTCTTTTCAAAAATCTCGATTTTTCACTCAACGTTTTATTACCAATATTCTTTTTAATAAACGACTTTTTTAAATTTCATTGCAGAAATCTCGATTTTTCCTCAATATTTTAAAACAACTTTTTAAAATGAAACGCTTTTCGCATTTCCTTCAATTTTTTATTTTAAATTTTATTAAAAAAAAATGTTTTTCGCATTTCCTTGTAGAAATATCGTTTTTTCCATCAACATTTTATTTTCAATTTTCTTTAAATAATAAAAGAAACGCTTTTCGCATTCCTTTGCAAAAATCTCGATTTTCACTCAACGTTTTATTACCAATATTCTTTTTAATAAACGACTTTTTAAAATTTCATTGCAGAAATCTCGATTTTTCCTCAATATTTCAAAACGATTTTTTTAAAATGAAACGCTTTTCGCATTTCTTTGCACAAATCTTAATATTCCTCTCAACATTTTATTTTCAATTTTACTTTAAATATAGAAAAAAAAAACGACTTTTTAAAAAGAAACGCGTTGAGAAAAGTTACTTTACGTTTCTAAAGAATGGAAAGAGCAATGAATTCCCGATTTGCTTCCCACTTCCTTTATACTTTTCTTATTTTTCCTATGTTTTCCGCTATTCCGTATGAAAATCCATCCGGAATGAGAATACTGCTTGGAATGCCAATATGCCGAGTTCGATGGCTTCGTGCCAAGATTGCACATACATACTTACACCCGTAAAGACGCGCGGGGTGGGTTTAATATATAAAAGGCGAGCAAAAAAAGGAAAACTCAGGTTTTTTTCCTTCTTTTTACAGGGAAAAGAACAAAAAGTTTGCGATTTGAATTCCTTGCGTTTTCTTCCCTTTTCTTTTATTCGTTTCCTCATCGACCGCTAAACGTTTCAACTGCAGAAACGTTTATTTCCCGGAGGAAGGATGAAATTTGTCGTCGAAAAGATACAGTTTCTTGTGCACGCTGTCACAGCTTATTTAGTAGACGTCAAAACTTATCGAACGAAAGTTATTGCTTACAAAGTGCAAGGACGTTCGTATTGAAATTTACACATAGTTTTGTGACACGATTTCAAGTTTTTTTATTTGATTGTACTTTGCTACAATTTGAAAAATAACGTAATTTCATTGAAAATTTAATAAAAAAAATATATTTATTAAATATCTACTAAATTATTGGAATTGTAAAAAGAATGATGCAAAAATTATATCAAAAATACGGTTTATTTTTTAAAGTTGTCATAAAAGAAGCGTAATTCTTTTGTTTTGACGCAATTTTTGTTCTTTTGAGGTTATGTAAGTTATTATTTAATATTAGTTTTGTATAAAGTGTCCAATTTTGATGTTTTAAAGAAAATCAATTAATATTGATTAATTTACAAATTATTTACATATAAAGTAGTAACGCTTCTTTTATGACAATTTGGACAAAAAAAAATGTGAAATAAAACTATTTTTTTTTATGAATATTTAGAGATTGAAATTGTTACTAAATGAGTTAAGAATAATTTTATGAATATAGATGAAATATTACGTGTATACTAAATTTATTCGACGGAAAATTCATATTTATTCAAGGATTTAATGCCGAAAACTTGCCACTTCCAAAAACCATGTCACGCTTAATTAACTAGGGAATAGAGGTGCACAAAAGGGAGCAATTTGTTTCTCCCGAAAACCTTTCCAGAAAACTTGAACGAAAACAAAACGAAACAAACTTTGACGCAGTGTACGTAAATATAAATTTAAAACTAAAGTTATTAACTTCATTATTAATTTTAATTATAACAATCTTTTGTTGCAACTGTAATTTTATAATAATTGTGTTTATGAAAATAATGATTTTTTATAAAGAAACTTTTGTCAGTCAACATTATTTATTAAAAATTGTAAAATGTTGTGTTTTTATTTGGTTTAATGATAATTTTAATGAGAAAATGAGTATATTTACAAATTCAAATTAAATGCAATTTCCACTTAATTTATGTTAATGAAAACTTTAAAATTTTGTGTTTTTTTTATAGATTTAATGAGTATTTTAATGAGTGAATTAATTTTTCGTAAATTAAGAATTAAAACATAGAAATCTCTGGAATAAAAGTGAATTGGATAAAAGAAAAGATTTATTTGTTCTTAGTTTCGGTATGTAAATGTTGAGTCAGGTTTTATCTCGTTTTTTTCATCGAAATTACTGAGAAAAAATGGAAGGAAAGGGAAAAAGGACTGAAAGAAAAAAACTTAAAGATAGAAGATATAATAAAATATGATAAAGCCCATAAAAACCGAACCCATTTCTTATCTCAGTCAGCAATGAATGCAGATGGTTGATAGCGTTTCTCTTGTGGCCTTTGTCTCTCTTTCTGGATGGAAAGTCCAAGGTTAAATATTATATTTTTTGGGGGAGGAAACAGGAAATTCGCGTTGCTAGTTGTTCCGAGTTTAGGCTGATTATGTTGGATGTTCTTCTCTTTTTTTTAGGAAGGTCGAAGACCTCTCGTCCGGACGATTACGGTGGTAACGATCTACGAGACTTTGTTGTGTGTGTGTGTAGTATGTATGGATAAGTTTATAAAGCAATTTGAGATTGATTCAACAAATCATTGTTAGTTACGATCGGAGAGGACGGATAATGGTTTGGATGAGCGAGGAAGAAGTAATGGGACCATTATTATCCGTCGATGCGTTTCCTAATTGTCAGCAAAAAACCGGTTGCATCTATTTCTATAGTGCAATGTGCATAATTCCATCCAAAGCCAGACTACCTTGAAAATACACAAACTTTTCATATGATCTTTACTACAGAAATACACTGAAATACATTAAGAGTACAAAGAATTCTTTATTTTATTTAATTATCGTAAATTATTACTAAGATACAGCGATTAGTACAATAAATTTTAATCCTTTTAAAATTAAGTGATTAGTTATCAATATTTAGATGTTAGTTATCAAAAGATGCGCAATTTTAGACATATTATAATGTAAACATACAGTATATAAATATGTTGATCATTTTTGAATGAATCAAAAAAAATTACATTCAAAATCCAATGATTATTTGTTAATTGTTTAGGCTATATCTCTATCTCTATATATTAAGATTACGTAACAATTATTATACCAAAAGATGAGCAATTGAAGACCCATTATTATGAAGTACAAAAATATATAAAAAGTTTCATTGTTTTTGAACTACTAAAAAATAGATTAAAAAAGGTTTAGAAAAATGTTGTAATTAAAAAAAATAAAATCTTAATTTTATAATATTTTTGTTTATGAAAATAATGAATTTTTATAAAGAAACTTTTGTCAGTCAACATTATTTATTAAAAATTGTAAAATGTTATGTTTTTATTTGGTTTAATGATTATTTTAATGAGTGAATTAATTTTTCGTAAATTAAAATTCATTGTTTTTGAACTACTTAAATATAGATTAAAAAAGTTTTAGAAAAATGTTGTAATTAAAAAAATATAATCTTAATGATTTTTATATTAAAAATATGTGAAATTTAAACAAAATATTTATGATTTCATCCCTTAAATCATTGTTTACACACATGTCATATACATTTATGCTCTTGACTTGGTTTCTTGTACACCTGATGATGTGAAAGTTGGTCTGTGAATTATGCAACTTTCGTGTGAGGTGAAGAGTAATAAGAAGTAAAAAAAAATAAGGAGTAGTAGCAGAGAAGTTGAGGAACCCAGTTTCGAACGTGCAACGTGTGTTGCATAAATTAACGCATGTTGACGGGGACGCCGCTATGCGGAAGTTTTCCCACATAAATCAACGAATTTCCATTGCTAATGTCACGCAGTTTAAGAGTGCCAAAGTCAACCGCCGGAGATGACAAAAGTGATCAAAACCGCAATTAGGATAAGATTAATTAGGTTTAATGGGACTAGTTTTATTGAATTTCTTGTTGAAGTTTTGACAGCTTATTATAGAAGAATGGTAAATAGCACAAATTTGGTAGTAAGTTTAATGGAAAAAGGAGAATTTTGTCTTTAATTTGTGTATTTGAATTTATAATTGATGTGCGTAGTTATCCAGTAATTAAATAAAATATAAAGACATGACACAAAAAAATGAGAATTTTCGAAAAAAAAAAATGTTTTTTTAAAACAAATTGGAAGAAAGCAATTATATAATTTGATAACTATAAAATAATTGAGTTAAATTATTATGTATAAGGTAGATAATAAACATGAATAAAAATTTTAATTAAATAATTTTATTAACAAATGTACCAACAAATTCTACAAACTAAAAAAAAATATTGTATAAAAAATAATTAATGTAATGATAATACTTTGTATAATGTAATATAAATAAGTCGATTAAATAATAATTTGTGTAATCGAAGAATTGTTAAATTAACAGATGAAAAATGCTTATGTTAAAAAGAATAATTAAATACAAAAAATGATGCAGGGTTATATTAAAAAAAAAACACAACTGATGGATTCTCAAAATTATTATAAGTTTGTAATAAATATGATTCATGTATATTTTTTTTTGTTTCATATTTTGTTAAATTTATCAAAGCAAACATTGAAATATTTTGAAAACTTTAATTTTTGTAAAACGATTTTTGTTGTTTTTTATATATTAAAAATATATTGAAATTAAGGAATTTTTTTAACTATTTTAAAAGTATGTATATAATTTAATTTACGTTTTTGACAACTATTGTTTGTAAATGTGACAGCTGTCAAAGTTGACATATGTGTATTTGATAAATTTTAAATTATTAAAATCTCCTTGACAACCATTTTTTGAAATATTGTTTAAATAAGTAAGACAGCTGTCAAAGTTGTCAAATAGGTTTGTTTGAAATGAAATGGACTGAAAATGTAAACAGAGATTGTCGGATAATCCTATCAGTGGGTTTTCGATTAGATAATCCCATAAATGAGGGAATGCGAGGAGGAACATAGTAAAGTTGTGGCTAATTGCCGATGTAGTGAAAAGATATAGACGTTTGAAGAGGGGCGGAAGTGTACTTTGGAATGTACAATGATTGGGGAATCAATTAGAAGGGTGAATTGGCCGTGACGACGACGGCCTTGTGGACGCAGATCCCGTTCCTGAGGAGAGCGGGCCAGAGGTAAGCTCTGACTATGTCGCTTCCCCTCTCCGAGGAATGATGTCTTTGGTGACGTTCGCCCTGCATCCTGATGGGAATCTGGAAGTCCGTCTCCAGCTCGTACGGCGGCTGCTGATTCACCATCAACCAGGCTGTCCTCGTAACCTCGGCAACGTACCTAAACGGATTACCAACAAGAGATTATCAAAGCGACTAACAGATGACCCTGTGTATTCGAACCTGTGCAGTGGACTGCAATCCTCCAAGCACCTGTACTCCCTGAGCGTGTCGCAGACAAGAGCCACGACCTGATGTTCAGCATCCCCAAGCGGAAAGGACTCGGCGTTCGAAGCCAGACATTTGATCAACTCTGACCTCAAATTCCCGCTGCTGCGACCATCCACGTGAAGCGTCCTGAACGTATCCCTGATCTTCGTCTCCCTCAGGTTCCTGCAGGTCCTGAAAGCCAGCTGCAAGAGAGAGAGTAGAGACGAGAGAAGATGTAATTCGTTGCTGCTGGTTAATTGGGCGAAAAGGGATGGTAGGAGACGAGGAAACACTCATCAAATCTATATTTAACGGGGGCAAAAGCCCGCACGACTACGGCCGTAAGTGCGATGCTAGTGGGGTGTTGGAGAAGGATGCGGATGAAGAATGGGGGGATGGTAAACACAATTCAATTATCTAAAAGGGGGATGTTTCTGCGAAGAGCACAGTAATAAATATTTCGGGGCGTTTCGCGCAATTAATTAGAAAATATGAACTAATTTCGTTAATTCATCAGGATGCGGAAGATGTAGACGAAGATACGAATAAGGATGATAACGAGGAATGAGAATGGGTATTCGTTAGTGGAGCGTTGGGACTACTCACGACAACTACGGAGAAGATAATTTTGGCTTTGAGCTGAGTGGCGTGTTGCAGGTCTGGCAGGGAATCCAAAGCCTCCAAAGCTCTCGGTCTGCTCTGGTAGTAGAGGCCTCCGTATCGACCGACCGCATCAATACTGAAACAATCCAATTATTAGCTGGAGCCAAGACTTTAGACTATCCGACAATGACACCTTCCGAACTCGTTGCGGTTGCGTTCGAAACACCATTAGAGCGTGCTGCTACTTAGTAAACTATCGAAACTTCTACACTCAAACAATTCCTCATTAAAATACAACTCTTGACTATATAACTTGGTAAATCTGAACTAGCGTATAATTTATTACATAATCAATCAACTTTACAACATTAATTCGCAAAAAAAATGCAATGAAATTCATTACTTATAAATTTAATAACGTCATTAAAGATATTTCCATTTCTATTCGAGATTGTCGTCAAAGGAAGCAAACTGGAGACTTCATGCGTTATTCATTTCAATTGTAACTATTGACAAATCTCTAGAAACGTCATTCAATTCACCTGTCACAGACGTATTGATAAATTTACAATCAATGCAATTATTAAATCAATCAATCAATTTCGTTTGAAAGTAAATTAGTTAGGAAGAATTACTTTGGTTGATAGACATAAATATTTCTAAACAAAATAATAAATTTGTTGAGAAAAATGAATGTAAATCGTTTGTAAATTATCAATACAAAAAGAAAACTGTATGTTTATTGACGATTAGCGAAGAAAACCTAATGGGAAATGATTGCCTGAAACACTGAATTCCTTTTTATGCGAATGTGCTAAACAATTGTTGTTTGTTTTTGATCTTTAGCGAAGTAATTGCAATTTCAAATAAAATTCATGATGAAAGAAAATTGTAAAATAATTCTTGTTCAAAAATGCATAATAGAAAATTATAATCTTAAGTTTATTTAGAAATCATTATAAATATTAATAATTTGGATAAAATCATTAGTTGTGTTGAAGTTGTGTAGAATAAAAAAATACAAATATTTTTGTTTGTTTTTGTAATAAAAGAAAACATTACTATTTTTAATTATTTATTTTTGTTCGTCAAAATGCGCATTGTTAGTCGGAAAAATAAAAATAAAAGACTACAAATAAATACATTTTACTTGCAAATAATTCAAATAAACTTAAAATCATTAACATTTATATAGAAAAAATTAAGTAATTAATTAAAAAAATACTTATTTGTATATTTTTATTTATTATTTGTAATTAACAAAATTTAGATCGTTTATTCTAATGATTATCAAATAAAAATTGACATAACCTCAATAACAAAAAAAATGACGTTAAAACTAAATAATAACGCTTCTTTTATGACAATTTATATTTTTTATTAATTACAAAATAAAGAAAGAAGTATTTTTACTTATTTTTTATAATTAACGTAATTTTGATTACTTATTCTATATGATTATCAAATAGAAATTGACAAAACCTCAATAAGAAAAAAAAAATGACGTTAAAACAATATAGTGACGCTTCTTTTATGACAGTTAATATTTTTATTAATTGCAAATTAAAGAAAGAATTATTTTTACTTATTTTTTACAATTAATGTAATTTTGTTTACTTATTCTATATGATTATCAAATATAAATTGACATAACCTCAATAAGAAAAAAATGACGTTAAAACAAAATAGTGACGCTTCTTTTATGACAGTTTATATTTTTATTAATTATAAATTGAAGAAAGAAGTATTTTTACTTATTTTTTATAATTAACGCAATTTTGATTACTTATTCTATATGATTATCAAATAGAAATTGACATAACCTCAATAAGGAAAAAATGACGTTAAAACTAAATAATAGTGCTTCTTTTATGACAGTTTATATTTTTATAAATTACAAATTAAAGAAAGAAGTATTTTTACTTATTTTTTGTAATTAACGTAATTTTGATTACTTATTCTATATGATTATCAAATAAAAATTGA